CCTTTATCTATCTTGAGCTTCCGGTCTCCCCTTCTGCACATTCTCGTTGGCTTCTGGGCCAGTGCTTGCCTGCCTTTCTTCTTTGCTCCCAGGATGTTTCATCTCAAGCTCCTCTTTTCCTCCTTTTGTCAACTATATTCAGGTGCACCCCAACTTTCCTCCACCCCACACCTCCTCCAAGGCCTCTGTAAATACTGCCACTGCCTGTCCACCCACGTGAGTGTGAAGCGAGGATGCCTGATCATCCTTCCCTTTTCCCCAGATCCTGTGACCCTCTCATTATCTCCTTGCAGCCCCAGCCATAGGAGCCTTTCTCCATCTCACTCCCTTCCCTGCTAAGGGCCTTCCAAAGGCTGCAGGATAACGCCTGAATTCCCACAAAGCCCTGCCTGATGGTATATACCACCAAACCTCAAACTCCATGGTCAACCCAAGCGGTGGGTTGGAATGGAACTACTAGACCCCCATGTGGCTCTGTCCACACCTCTCCACAGCACCCTCAGTGTAGCACTATTCTAGACAGCCTGGGCTGTGTGGGACTGCGGCGTTGTCTATTCCCTACTACCAGCGTCTCATCTCAGACGGTGCACCTCCCCAGACTGTGACTGGGCTACGGACTTCTCTAGGTCTCTAGGGGTCTTGAGAGGCATGTAGTCAATTTATGCTTAATGAACACCCAAGAGCAAGCAAACAGACCTAGAAATCAGGACCATGGGAGGTGAGGGGGTGTGACTAAAGATGTGAGTAGGGGTGGGGTGTGAAGGTATGAGTGGGAGGTGTGGAGTGGTGGTGTGATTGAGAGTGGGGAGTGGGGGCGTGTGCATCTACATCCTTTGGAAAACAGGGAGGCTCACCTTTTAGGAAATTCCTTCCTGTGCTGTCTTGGACAAGGAAAGGCAGAGGTGGGGTTTCCTTTCCAAGGGAGAACCAACTCCAACTCCCGGTCCCTGCAGTTTGTGGAGGACAGGGTGTCAGGGAGAGCCACAGCTGACCTCCAGTAAATGGAGGTCACAGAGGGTGTTCTACTGCTATACTTAGTACACAGGAGGAGACAGGATCAGAGACGCTGAGCACCTTAAGGCCACATGGTGAATTTGAGCAAGGCAGAGCCTTTTTGCTCAGCAGGCAGGTCTTTTGCTGCAGGCTTCCCAGGTCCTCCCTTCACCCTGTGCCCCCAACCTACAGCAACTGGGAACATACTGGGAGCTGAAGGAAGGATAGGGAAAGGTACCATTGTTTAGGGACCCTGGTGGCTGGGGGAGATTTCTCAGGAGATTCTGGGACCCGGGGGGGGGGTGTTCCTCTTCTCCCCCTGGTCCCAGGGCCTGGGGAGCTGCCCTTGGGCAGACCTGCAGAGCCCTGGCTCATGGATGAAGAGACTGCAGGTCTTCGCTTCTCCTCAACACAGTGTCTGTCATAGTCTCTCGGTCAGATGCTGGGGGTGGGGTTCAGAGCCAGGGCGTTCTCCACCTCCAGGGCAGATTCACTCTAGACACATTCCCATCATTAATTACTAGGATCCTCCGATCTGGATAGACCAGGAGTGTTCTGCAGGGAGCCTGCCTAGGATCAGAGGAGCACCAGGGGATAGAGCTTTGGCATTTAGCCAGCTAGCGTAGAGGTCACCTGACCTGCTGGCTGGCAGCAGCGCAGGACACAGCGACCTGCCTCAGTCACTCAAGCCTGCTGCGTGTTGTTCTCCGAGGTGACCACCAGGGGGCAGGATGCTCTTCGGAAACCTGAGCACACAGGCGCAGGGCTTGCAGCAAAGGACCCTAGCTGCTCTCGCTACACCGGGTGCAGCGTGCCAAGTGCTTCCATGCCTCACTGCGTTTAAGGTTCACAACAATCTTATTTCTTGGGTATTGATTACGTGCGAGGAAACCGAGCTCATCAGCAGCTGGCAGTTGACCCAGCAGAGTCGAATTTGGGTTTCAGTAGCCTCAAAACTTGAACGCTGTTCTAGGCCGAGCCCTAGCAGCTGGTCTATGTGCTCGGTCTCTGCACCTGCAGGCATTTGTGTTTAGTGTGATCACAGCAAGGACAAGAGGCTCCTGGATCTCAGGGGCCTTTCATCTGTCTCTTCCACTTTGGGTGAAACTAAGAACCTGAGAGAGGACGTGAGCTGTGGATAATTTCACAGCGGGTGGCAGATGTCAACGCTGGGAGCACCCATCCCTGGAAGGCTGTCCCTCCCTAAAAGGTTCTAAAGTTTAAGATGGCAGGGCGAAGCCGGTTCTGATGCTGTGTTTTAAAATGTACTCTATTTTCAATGTCTCAAATCCCGATTCCGAAAGTGAGCAGAAACACCCTCACCATAACCGACCTTGTTTCTGAAACAAGCCCATTAAGAGTTTTAAAAAAGGAACCGAAACATTGGAAGCAGCCCAAAAGAGAAGCAGATGCCTGACTTTCACAACCACCATCTCATCTGACCCAACCTCCAGCTTAAACTTCGTGAGGTGAGGCAGTCCCATTCCATGCCCAGCACTCCGCTACAGATCGGTGGGATTTGGGGCATGCATTTGCCAAAGATTAGTTAACCGCCCAGCAGGATTGTGATCAAGCTCCTTTGCATTTCTGCACAAAATTTGAATATTCACACTGAGGTAAAGAGACAAACCGTGGCCTCTGATACGTTCAATTTGCCACGAGCCAAATTAAATTTTTTGGGCTTCTGGGGAGCTTTGACACTTGGGAGTAGGAGGTGGGGCTCATGAGCCTGACCACTCTTCGTGGTCGGGGAAAGCAAGCTTCTTCAAAGCTGGTGGCCACAGGCAGGCGTCCGGGGAGACGTCCATGGGCTCCCAGGGCATCGCCCCCCCGCCCGGGCTCTGCTTGACTGTGACCGCCCGCCCACGCGCCTCCTGGCTCGGGGGCCCTACCTGCTTTGGGCTCTTCTCCCGCGGCGGGAAGCGCAAGTCCGGGATGGCCTCGCAGACGTTCTCGGAGTCGCTGCGCGCCAGGGGTCGCAGGCACACCCAGGAGCCCGCCACGCTGCGGGCCTTGAAGTGGCCCGCACTCCCGAGGAGGCCGGCAGGGGGCGCTGCGGCGGCCCGTGTCAGGTCATCCAGGGACTGCGCGGGCCGCATCCGCGCTGCCCGCCGCACTTACAGGCATCCGCCCGGCTCCAGGCTGCGGCGCTGGCCCGAAGTGCTGTGCGGCGCTGGGCCACACAGGGAGCTGGCGATGCCTCGGGGCTCCGCAGCCGCACCGTCGGGGCCCGCGGGTGCCGGAGCGCTCACGAAGCGGTAGTCGTAGGTCAGAGGCTCCGGGACCGCGCGGCACGGCTGGGGAGCGGGAGGCAGCGGGGTGGGGGCAGGGTCGCCCAGCGCGGGCAGCTCGCACACGTACTGCGCGGGCAAGTAGAAGGGGCGACCCCCAGGCTCGCGCCGCACGTGCCACCAGTGCTCGGTGCTGCGTCGCAGCAGCCGGTAGCGCTCGTTGGGCTGAATGGCGACACGGCGCCCATCCTTGCCCGTGTACTCGAAGGGGTGCTCCACCAGCACGTACACGTCCCCCTGGACGTCCGCCGCCATCGCGGCCACCGCGTTTTCCTGCAGGCAAGGAGAAGCGAAGCCGCGGAGGTCAGGAGCCGGGAAGAGCACCGTTCTGGGGGTCAAAGACCTGGGTTCGAGTCCTGATTCTGCACTCTGCCAGGGCATTCGGGCTTCAGTTTTCCTAGCTCTGGAAGGTGGACTTGATTGCATAAAATCATGGAATTACAACAATCCCTTCATTCTGGGTCGCTGATTGTTAAAATACGTAACTCGCTGCAATCCGTGGGGAGGAAACTGGGGGTGATACGGGCCCAACTTTACGGCCAGGGAAACTTTGACCCAAAGAGCTGCGGTGACTGCCGGGACTCTAAGATAAACCGCACATTTGCCTGAAGGCTGGCTTCTGGGATGGTGAAGTGGGAATCAGGGCCTTTTCTCGCCGCTCCTGCTCCCAGGTTCCGCCCCACCCTGACGCTTCCAGCCTACAGGGAATAGTTGGAAAGTTCTTCAGCTCTCCCACTACGAGCCTGCGCCTGGGGCCCGCAGAGTCAGCGTTGGGTGCAGGCTCTGTGGCAGCCCTCAAATTGTTCTCCTTGAGGTGTCCCTGCCCCACTTAGTCCAAGGATTTTGAAGGGCCTTCCACAGCTAAGGCTGGAGAACCGGTTCTCTGGGTTTCTCCTTCCTTCCCCAAAGGCTGTGCGGCACAGGTTAACCGGGAGTCTGGCCCGCCCAGCCGGCCTAGGCAAGCCAATAACTAACCCCCGCTCCCCCCGCCCCCCCCCGCGCCGCCAGCTTCCAGGCCAACTCCGAAAAGAGGCTGGGCTTCCCAGTATGAGCACCTGCCTTGGGATGCATTATGTCACCAGGGTCCCCAAAACCCTCGGGAGTGATCGCCACAAGGCTCTTTCCCCATGCCAGCTCAGTCTGGCGCCTGGTGTGTTGGAAAGGGGACCCCAACTGTAAATCTGCCTTGTGCCTTCAAAACAAAGTGAAGTCAGTTGCTTCCTCCGGAAGTAGTGGTTCTTCCAAAGCCCTACACTGACCACACCGTTACTACCCTACAAGGTGACCTGGGGACCTGCAGCCGCGAGTCCACCCTCTTGCTGTGACAGACTTCTAAAGGGGTGTAAACTGAGTCACTGAGCACCCTGACCCCTGGAGGCAGCGTCTTAGGGCAGACCAGAGCTTGCCAGCAAACCCGGGAGTAAGGACACTTTGGTCACTCCCCCTTTCCCAAGACCCTGACGGAGTACTCATAATGACAGAGCCGGTCTCAGGCAGCCCACGAGCTGGATGGGCGGGGCCAGCGGAGGGCTGTAGGTTAGGCCTCTACCATCTCCCTGGGAGGGGCTTCCAAGGGCTGGGGTGGAGAGATCGCACTCAGCCGAGCAGCTGGGGGAGAAAGGCCCGGACACACACTTAGTAAGGCTGTCCCCATCCTCAATACAGCTGTCTGGCAGGTCAAGGAGGAGCCTTAATGCCTGTACCCCGGACCTTGAGGGACCTGCGAGACCCGACCTGATGCAAGAGGAGACATGCGGGAGGGGCTGCGTTGGAAGGGGCACTGACGGGTCTCGAGGGGAGCCCAAGGGTCGATAAGGTCCTGCTTGTCCGTCCCTGCTTCTCTCGGTCACCCCCCGAGGATTTGCTGTCCTCGAGGCCCTGAGTTCGGTGGGCGAGATGCTCTGGGAATGCTTGGCTGGGGCTAGTTGTCTCCACCCGGCGTTCACATTCCGAGCGAGGCCTTTTACTCGCTGAATCACCAACCCCCAGCGTTTTGCAGGCAGGTTGAGCGCACTACCCATCCCTGGCTCACCTCCGCCTTCCCAGGCCCTTCCTGGGAGCAGCCCGTCCCTGCCTGGACAAACTCGGAGAGTCCCCTTGCAGGGACGCTCACTAGAGCGCAGAGTCTTGGGCTATGGGGAAGGAGGACCCGAGTCCCAGACCTTTCCTGGATTCTGGGGGCGTGAAGAGGAGAGGGATAGGAAAGCCGGGAGGATCCTGGGAGCGCAAGAACGCATCCTTCCCCTGGAGGTTTCCAGCGTCTTCTGTCCCAGTCACTCTAGGCGTAGAGGCACCAACGCCTAAGATGGCACTGCGGAACTTCGGCTGGTCCCCTCCCGACCCTGAACAGCGGGCAGCCTGCCTAAGCTTCCTCCTCCGCGGATCCGGCCGCGGGGCCCTCCTCTCGGCTGGCGCTGCTCCTGCCCTAGCGCCTTTAGAAGAGCAGGCAGGAGGCTTGCAGGGCTCCCGGGTGAGGACCGCTACCTGGGGCACCCTCGCCGCCCTCCCACGGCTCAGCGACACCCTCCCCAATACCCTCTCCCCATTCCAGCGGGGCCCAGGCACCTCAGAGCTTTCGCCCGCTGACCTTGCTTCCACTTGCCCCGGCAGGCACGCGTGGGGTTGGCGTCTGGCGCTGCCTGCCCCACAGCCCGGCTCCTGCGCTGCCCTGTTTCCTGTTAACAACATAACCAGCGGAGAGCTCGGCAGAATTTCCTCCCAGGCTGGGGCTGGGCTGCAGTTGCGAGAGACAATCCCCGGTGTCCTGGCTTACTGTCCTCTGGGCCGGGCCACTGCTCCAGAAGCAGAGACGCCACCCTTTCCCCTCTCCCCCTGCACCTCCAGGGATCCTGGGCCACACCTGTCCTGGTTGGAGGCGATAGCAGGGCCTGGATGGCGAACAGCGGGAGCTCTGCAGCTTCTTTCAATAACTTCTGGTCAGATCATGCTCCCACCGGCCCCTCCCCCCCAATCCTTGTAGAGGAAGAGATCTATCTACCTTCCAGTCCTCCGCAGGCGGCCAGATCCTGAACGGAGACCCTCCAACCGTGGGAACCACCTGATTCCTGGTGATTCCTGGGATAGCAGCCTTATCTCTCTGACCAGTGCCTGAGCTCTCCTCTGACAAGGGCAAGCCTTGGCCCTAGAACACACTTACTCTCAGGCCTGCAAGGAGGGGGGTGGGGTCCACCTAGGTGCTCTGCTGGAGAGTTGGCTGCTTCAGGCTAGTGAACAAAGAGAAAGGCACCTCCATGCCAGGCTTAGGCTCCTTTAGCTGAGCAAAGATACCCTCAAACTTCTCCCCCCCCCACTACACACTTAGAAAAGAGGCTGGATGAGCCCTCCCTCCTTCCACCCTACCTTGTAGGTCTCTCCCTAGTTGCCCTAATCACCCAACCACCAGGGAGATCCTTGTCTGGGGTCCAGCAGTCTGATACTCATCTCTGTCACATCCTGGCCTTTAGCATGGGAAGTAATGCTTTCTGTCTACAACCTGTTTTCTCTCATCACCTCCATAGATATGCTTTCTGGAAAGATTAAATGAGATACACTAAGCACAACGGTGTTAAATGCACACTTTATTACTTTTTATTGCCTATTATGGCATGAGCTCTCAGGATGGGGTCTCTGACTTTTCCATGCCCCTCTAGGCAGAGGGGAGGAAGGGGAAACATGCCCTCAGAAGCATTGTACTGTGGGTAGAAAGGCTGAGCCAAAGACAGGGCAGCACCAGCTCATGTGTCAGGCCTCTTCCCTGGGCCTGCCTTCTCCAATCCCCAAACCCAGCTCCTCTTTCCTTTCTTTGGGCCTAGGCCCCTGGAGGAGGGAAGTCCTTAAAAAATCTGGCTCATAGATGGGCAAGGGGCACTCCACTCACTGCCTGAAAGCGTCTTCAAGGACAGGAAATTGCAGCCTGTATGTTGTCTTTCTGTACCATTTTCCTGCAACCTGGTTTCCCTAGGAATTTGTCTGTTTCCTCCTTTTGTTCTTTTTTTGTTTTGTTTTGTTTTGTTTTGTTTTGTTTTGTTTTGTTTGAGACAGGATCTCCCTGTAGCCCCAGCTGTCCTGGAACTCACTATGTAGACCAGGCTGGCCTCGATCTCACAGAGATCTGCCTGCCTCTGCCTCCCGAGTGCTGGGATTAAAGGGGGCCCCACACCGGGCCCTTCTTTTGTTTTCACATGAGCAGTGGGGGGGGGGGCTTCTGGAACTTCTGAGGAAGGCCAGCAGCTAGAGAGGTCACTTGAGTTTTAAATCCACCAGTCCTGGAGTCAGGGTCTACTCACTTCACCTGTCGTCCCTAAGCCCCCTCTCCACTTAGATTTCTGAGCTTTTACAGGACAGTTGGAGGGAAGGTGATGTCTGTATTCTGGCATTTAAGAGTCAGCTTAAGTTGTTAAAGTTGAGTGTATATAAATCTGTCCCCCTCCCCCCCCTGCAAGTTGAATACTGTCATCCTCTTCTCCCTGTTCCTCCTGGCACACAAGTGTGCCAGGGACCCAGGATCCCCTGTGCCTAGGATTTAAGGGGAGCAAGGGGCTGCCGAATGGATCGGATGACTGGTCGTCTCCCCAGCAGTGACAGGATTAAGATTCAGAAGCCAGACTGTGATTAGAAAGACCAGCTCTTTACTGCAAAATCATTCAAATATCACACAGCAGCAATTCCTTCAATACATTGCCAAGCACTTCTCAGAAGGACCAGGGCCCCACTTACCAGAAAGTTTATTGCATAAAAGAACATTTTAAAAATAGTGTGGGCACTGCTGAGGTTCAGGTAAGCTCTCTTCTGGCAGCGTGGGGTAAAGGAACTCATCTGAGTGCATTAGAAGCTTGCTTAGTAAAGGGGCAAGGACAGGCTCTAATGCTCATAATCCAGGTGCTGGGAAGACTCCTGCCCACCCGAGGACCCAGGGCAAGAAGGCTCTAATCAGGCTGTGGGTTTGGGGGAGTGTTAATGCTGGATGTGGGGTGGGGATATGAATTCTGGTTCTGGAGGCTTTGGGTGTTCTAGTCACTGGTGAGTGCCATCTTCCATGATGGGGACAGAGGAACTGTGTGGCAGTCTCTGCCACCTGCCTAACACCTCCTCTTTTCTATTGCACAATCCTTCCAGCTCCAGGGTGCTGGGCAGATGACTCAGTCCATTCACCTCAGGGAGGGTGAGGAAGCTGCTTCTCTTGGCATGAAGGCGCATTTCCTGGGAGGCCCTCCTTTCCACCTGAGATCTCTGACTCAAAGTGCTTGGGGATGTCCAGAGGGGCTGCTGGGTGGGTACAGAAGAGAAGGCAGCATCCCTACCCCCACCCTACCCCACGGCAAAGCCTCAAGGTTCTGAACACCTTGAGAACAATTCCAGGCTGCTGCCATCAACCTCAAGGGCCTCTTCAAAGGCACCCTGCTCCCAGGAAGTTCTTTGGGCTTTGTAGTGTTCTGACAGACAAGGCCAAAAGTGAAGCAGCTTTGTGAACTCATGGCTTTGTAAGACTGAGGCTGATGAGGCTTCCATGGGGCAGCGGCTGGGCATGTCCTTGTATATCTCCACAGTTGAACAATGATGAGTCTCTTCTTTACAGGTGGAGCTTGGGGCCTCTCTGTTGTCCAACCTACTCTATCCTGACAGGGGCTAGTCCTGCTTCCAGGCAGGACTAGGAGGGTGGAGGGATGAGGATGGGCAAGATCATGGCCTTCCTGAACCAAGGAAGGTTCGAAGTGCTGACAGTGCTGGTGTGGGGCATTCCCCTGCTCCTGCAGTGCTGTGACCCCAGGCCAGAGGAATTCAGGTGAAGAGGGAGGTGGTCATAGGAACTGACCAGCCCTGTATGCCGGATGGTTTGGCACATACCACTTGCATTGTTGGCAGTATGTGCCAGAAAGGGTGAAGGAAAGGCATCCAGTTCACAGACAGGCCTTTGTCCCACAGTGGCCTGCCCACCCAGCCTCATGCCTGCCTCTGGGCTCGGGTAGCTCTTGCTCATCTGCTCCAGATAGGAGAGGTGGGTTTCTTGGGGGACTTGGGAGGGTCAAGAATAAAAAAAATAAATATGTTCTATTTAAATATGAAGAGGGAAAACCCACCTTAAAAAACTAGACCTTTTAATCAGGGATGTAGGGTTGAAAATGCTTTCTAAGTCTTCTTTCCAGAGTGTATGAACAGCCCTAATGGAGGTGCCATGACAGCTAGCTGAGCCAGGCCTGGTGAAGAGCCCTGGGCAGGGGCATCTGGTGGGTCTCCACTTTCTGGAACAGAAGGGTAGTGCGGAGCCATGGACATCACTGGGATTTCCTTGGCCTTCTCTGGAGGCTAGCAATCTGGGCACACCTGAATCTTCCTGACAGTAACACAGAGGAGCCCGGCCTGATGGCAGACCCAGCTGGATGGCTGAGCTGCAGCTCCTCTGGCCTTGGTGGGTCAGAACATCAGGGTTAGCTAAGAATGTTCTGTTCCTGGTACTTGCGCCGACAGGCACAGCGGGGACACCCCTTCCTCACCACTCACTGGCAGCTCTGGTGGAAGACAATTTTGCATTTGGCACACCTGGGGAAAGAACATTAAGGGCTGCTAGTACCAGTCATCCAGATGTGCCCAGGCCCAGGCTGGCCAGGGCTTTGGACAGAACCCACAGGGTGGCTATGGTCTGCCTGTAGCCTGCACCCATATGCAAAGCCTTCCACTTCTAGAAAACTACTTCTAAAATTCAATCCATAAGTGACCCCAGTACTCACTGATATTGTGTCTCACTTCATTCTTTGTAAGTGCTGCTTGAGTGTCTAATGACTTCTTTCCTATCTTTAGAATAGTTTAGACAACAGCTCCAGCCCATTCAGGGGTGACTCTGACTGGTTTACCTACTGAGGGTGTGGGAAGGTTGGGGTGTGTACTTCTATTCAGGAGCTTCTAGTGATGCACGGTAATGGGGGGAGGCAAGAATGAGCACTTACTGCAATAGAGGCAATGGGAAGTTACTCCTCGGCCCCCAGGCACTCACTTTGTGCTAGGCCTTATGTAGTGTTCCAGAGCCAGGGATATGCTTGGTTCAATCTGCTCAATTCATTTGTGGACTAAGATCAGAAAATCTACTCCAAGAGGCAGTAGCCACCTCTTCTCTAGGGTGATGGGGAGAAGGAGGGGACCCCTGTAGGCCCAGGCTGCTCTTGGTAGCCACACTAACTCTGGGCACTGGCACAGAGTAGACATCCAGTGTGCCCTTGCATAAGAGAGTGAATCCTACCACCATGGGTACTGGGTCAGGCTGTGGGTATGGAAGTAGCTCACTAGGTATTCTGAGGACCTGACTGTGGTGTCAAACTCAAAAGGGAAGATGATGTCGTGATGATGGCAGATCTGGCAGATGAAGCCTCGCTGGGTGCACAGGTCACAGTGGTAGACATGCTGGGAGGCAAAATCAATCAGGGCCTTGAGGAAGCCTTCATATACTCCCTCTGCAATCTGTGGGAACAAGTGGAGACAGCCATAGGTGGATCTGCTGCATCACCATGGCACCTACTTCAGAGATGCCTGGCTCTACATGGGCAAGGGGACCTCTCTGAGTCAGGCTGTGTGATACAGGCTCCCAGTCTGTATCTGATGTCATTGGGGGTATGGGACTGACCGAGGGGGACCCAAATTCATCCACTCTGCCCTCTTCGGATGGAAGGGCTCTCCACGCTCACCCCTAGGAGGCTGGAGCCCATGGTTAGTCCAGGGGGCCTGAGTGGTCAGGGACTGACTGCTCAGGGAGGCAGGAAACAGGCAGGAGGCTGTTCTGAGGCGTCAACAGTTGAAGGCGCGCTACCTGGCCCCAGTAAACTGCAGGTCCTTCTTCCCTCTGCTATTTTCCTTTGTGAAATCTCCAGGAACAAGAGCCCTCCAGTGAGGCCTAAGGGGAACACCACATGCTCACCTGCTGGAGGTCAGCGACACTGAATTTGTGGGGAGACTCCAAGAGATAATTCCTGTGGCTTAGCCTGCAAAGACAACACAAGCACTTCCTCAGAAGGGTTCTAGGCCAGGCTCCCTGTGTACCTTGTTTTCTTTCCCTCTGCACTGTCTGCCAGCATCACAAGTCTGGGTTACCAGCAGGCCAAGAGCACAAATCAGTCTGTCTGTGCCCCACTTGAACTACCTGGTACAATAACCAGCTGGATCTGGGGCAAGCTACTTCACCTCTGAACAAGACACAGACCTGTTTTGAGGATTAAATAATTTACTGAAAGCATGTACATTGTAAACATATGACTAACAGCTGTGAGGAAAAGGATGATGCATGCTGATACTTGGTACCAAAAGCTGGGCTAAGTATCGAATCCTTGCAGTAATCCCGTGAGGCCAGTTTGATTGTGACTCCCATTTTGGGAAGAGAGGAAGCTCCGGTTAAATAACTTGCCTGAGGTCACAGAGTTGAGTCAGAGCTAGAACTTGAATGTAGGAGTCTGGCCTATATCCTTATCCACTCCACTGTCACCACTGGTAGAATACTGAGGACAGAGATACATTGACGTGGTTGCTGCCCGTGGTCGTTCCTTGTCTAGCTGAGGGATACACATTCACACACATTAAAGTGTCTGGTTTCAGTGATCTGTGAGAGCAACTGAGCCATATTCTAGGAAAGCAGATCCTATTTCAGGGTTGGGAGGAGAAGATGAGAGCAGGACACCAGCCCCACCCAGGTTCCCAACACACCAATAACAGGGGACCCCAGGTCACGTCCTGAGGGATAGAAACACTTGTAGAAAATCCCTGGCGTAGAGCCCTGACCAGCCTTGCTGCATGTCTGCATTTGTGGGTACTGATGTGGAGATAGTCCAAGTTAGGAGAAGTCTGGGGTCCTGTGCCTGGACATCCTGGACATACAGGGCAGGACAGTGTCAGCCCCTGGGGGACTTGGCCATGCCCTAGCCAGTCATTTCAGTTGAGGTCCATGGGAGCTGACCAGGTAGGTCAGGCTGCATCATGTGGGTAAAGACACCTCCAACTTACCTCTCAGTTTACCATGCTAGTTTCCCCAGTGAGCTTCCAGCTCTCTGGGAACAGGAGGCTGCCATTTATCTCCAGGAAAACGCGGAGGAGGTGCATGGGCTGGCTCTCAGCTGGCAGGAAGGGTGGGGCTGATTTGATAGAGCATTATCCCTGCCATCTTCCCTCTGTCCAGTCCTGGGAGCCAGCCAGGCCCAGGGCCTTTCCTGGGAGTCACTGTATCCTTGGCCTGTCACTCTCAGCAAGGCCTTGCAACCGACTTCCCTGAAAGGCTTGGTTAAGGCCAGATGGAGAGATGGTGAGGCGCTGGGCACAGCCTGGCTGGGCCTCAGTTTCTCCACCCATACAACAAAAAGACCCTTCTCAGTCCTCTGGAGCAAAGCTAACTGCCTAGGGAAGGGAGTGGGGGAACTTCGGGATCTGGGAAACTGTGAAGACAAAAAGACCCTGCCAAAGCCAGGTGATCTGGGGGACTTCCATGGGTAGCTGGGGTTTTACTTTTTTTATCTGATTCCCATTCCTCTTCTGGCCACTCCTAAAGCTGAGGCTAAAGGTAGGAACACCAAGATCTGGCGGGACATCCCTGTTGGGAACCCCTGCTGTTTAAGGTAGCAGTCTCTCCATGTCCGGATAGCCGCAGGCCGGCTTGGCGCAAATGGAAGGACTCCCTTTCTCAGCGGGGCACCTTCCTACTCTCTTCCTGACTCACCTTTTGAAGTGCCCGTCACACATACATGGCCTCTGGCACAGAAACTGCCAGGTCTTTCCTGTGTGATAATCAGGCACTGTCTGACAGCCTGACAGAAGCCCACCACCACATGTAAATGGGGCATCCTACAAAGCACCTATCAACTAAGGCTTTTGCTACTGCCTCCACACTATAATAAATATCCTGGTTTCCCCCTAATAAATCGGAGCTGTACCACTGAGTCTGACTGAGCTGTATCCTGTGTCTTACTGCCTACGATTCAGTCTCCCCAGAGGGGGCTGTCCCTTCGTAAACAACCACTCGGAAGATCTTGCTTTTGCCGTTCCTGCACCTCCCCTCGTGATCCGGTGGCCCACGGATCGCAAAACGTAGAGGGAGTGCCCGGTAGCTTGGAACGGAACTCGTCTGGAAGCGCATCGACCCGCAGAGTCGCCAGCATCCAGTAGCTGCGGAGAGCCAAGGATCCGAACAGCAACGTGGTGCGCGGGACCCGCCCCAGCGGCGCGAGAGACAGGGACCCGCCCCACACATCCCTGTGGGGGCATTTCTATAATGGAGGCCCCTTCCAAAGGCCCAAGAGGTCACAGGAGACATGTCCCAGGTCTATAAAGGAACCCTTCTCTCAGAGGCCCTTACAGTCTGAGGCTATGAGCAGAGGGCAGATCCTCGTGGCTTCGCCTCCCACAGCCAGACTGTCCAGACCTCCTCAGCCCTTCTCTTCTTCCATCAGGCCATCCAGTTCCAGGGTTAGTTACTATACCAGTGCCTTCCAGGCACCCCGCTTCCCCAATATCTGGCTCTTCACTAATGCTGGAGCCATGCAGCCTCTCTCCCTCGTTCCTGACTAATGCCAGAGAGGTCTTACCCTTCTTTCTCTCCCTCCCACCCACCTTTCTTAGTTTAAAAACCTGTATTTTATTTATTATTATTACTGTGTTTGTGCATGATATGGGGATGGGGCACGCCACAGTGTACACATGGAAGTCAGAGGACAACTTTCAGGAGTTGGGTCTCTCCTTTCACTGTGAGTTCCAGAGATCCAACTCAGTGCACCTGCCCTCCGAACCATCTTGCTGGCCTTCTTTCTTGATTTTTTATGACAGGGTACCTGTCAGGGTAGCCAGGATAGCCCAGGCTAGCTTTGATATGGAGCTGAGGATGACCCTGAACTCCAATTCTCCTGCCTCCATCTCCTAATGCTAGGATTAGAGGTGTGTGCCACCACAATCACCTAAACTCTCTTAAAGTTTTTGTTTTTGTTTTCTAAAGAAAGAGAAGAACTATAAGCCCTCAGCTCATATACCAACTGAGAGTCTTCCAGCCTTCCGGCCCTTCTAGCTCCTGCCCAGGATGGTTTGGCACCCTCCCTCAGGACACATATAATGCTTACCCAGCTATTTCCTGCTTATGGCTGGTTAAGGCCTAGTTACTGAGCCTCTCATGTGGTTCTCACCATAACTCAGGAAGGCCACATATACCCAAGACCAGTGGCCTAACTTATAAAATGGGTAAACAGGCTCAGAGAAGCAAAGCCACTTCCCGGAGTCATGCAGAGGTCTAGGCCAGGCAGGGTGTTTCTGTGCTTTTCCTCTGTCCTGTGTTTCCTCTACAAGGGGATTTACTGCAGATGTGCATGTCAGGGTTTGGGAGACAGTTCAGCAGAAGAACCCTTTCTGCACAAGAGGACCCAAATTAGGATCCCTAGCACCTAGGTAAAGCTGGAGTGTGACCATGCACATGGTAACACTAGTGCTATGGGGAGCAAAGACAGAAGGATCTTTGGGGTTTGCTGGCCAGCCAGTCTAGTTAAAAAGTGGCAAGTTGTAGGTCCAGTGAGGACCCCCATTTCAAAGGGATAAGGCAGAGAGTGACACATGCCTTGGGCCACAGAATCTCAGAAAGGAGAAAAATGGGTCAACTTTGTGGAAAAAGGAGATACTGGGCTAGTCAGGGTGGCAGAGCCCTCCAAGGAGGCTTTCTGTTCCTCCAGGCCCTGAGGAAGAAGGTAAAGCCTTAGGGGCTCACTGGCTGCTCTGCAGGGCTGTAAAGGACCAGCATACTCCTCTGCCTAGTACAGAGTTCTATAGCTCCACCCAGAGAGCTGGGACCTGCACTGGACACATTCATTTCTGAGGAACAGAGCAGGTGTGCTTCTGGGAGAACTAAAGTGTACCTAGGCCTGAGGAGACACCTTCCGATAGTATTGTCTGTTTCAGCCCCTAGAGAAGTGAGGCTGGGTAAGTGGAAGGACTTGTGAGCGCCACTAGTCTCCAAAGACCTGGAAAAATAGGCACAAAGTCCATACTGGCCAGTGGAACTCCCAGAGCTGTACTCTCCTAAGGGCCCCCAGAGAGTACAGTTCCTTAAAAGCCACAGCCTGGGCTGTGAGCGCAGGGCTAGGAAGTGTTTTGAGGCAGTCACAGAGAGGCTCTTGCCTGAAGCCTAAGGTCATCTACCATCCCTTAAACACCAAAGACCCCAGGCCCTGAGTACCAAGAAGCTTCTAGAAGAGCCCACCCCCAGGGTGCTGCCAACCTTATACTCTGGAGGATCCAGGGAGTAATGTTGCCAAGGATAGCATCAAGCAGCCAAGGGATGAAGACGGGCTAGCATCCTTCTCTAGTCTGCCCCTTACCACCCTGCCCACATCTGCCAAAGCCCTCTCTGGGCCTTCCAGGTGTGGTGCCTTCCTCATGGTCTGTGCCTGCCAATCCTCTGTCTGGAACCCTTTTCCTCTCCTCCTTCCCTCTTTAACTTCTGTTCACTTTTCAGGTCTCATCTCAGGAGTCACTCCCTCCAGGACAGCTTTCTGCTCTATCTCCCCACCCTCCTGGTCAGACGTGTCTCCTCCACATATCTGCAGCTTCCTTGCTCTCTCCCCACTCTTGGCTCTCTGGTTGTAGATGCTGCTAGCTCATCTGCCTTCCCGGCCAGATCAGAGGCTTCTTGAGGGAGGCTTTGGGTCTGCCTTGTTCAGCACTGCATTCTCCCTCTCCCAGTGCTTGGAATAGTTGTTCTGAATAAATATTTGTTGAATGAATGAATGACTATTCAAACAAAACCACCACCCCTAAATGATGCAGTGATTTGACAGTTCAGTAGGAAGTTCTCAGCTCAGCATTGGCATCTCTCCCAAGTGGATGCCTTCCCCAGGCTTAGGGGTGTGTGTGGTGGGTGTGTGTGTGTGTGTGTGTGTGTGTGTGTGTGTGTGTGTGTGTGAAGGGGGTGCATATGCATGCAGAGAGCTCACCTCTTGCTCATCTCCTTCAGGGCACCACTACGGCACAGGCCCAGGTAGTCCCCCAGAAGCTTTAGCTGTTCCCAGCTCCTGCTGATGAGGTGCATGCGCTCCACATGCTCATACAAAGAGGCGCTCACTAGCTGCAGGTTGATAAGAGGCTGGGCCCAAATCTGTGCCGGGAACTTCAGGGCCTGTCGGCACACCTGGGGGCACCAATGGGTGATTGGTTGTTTAGCCTGGCCTTCTGGCTGGATACTGCATTACCTAGTCCTCACCTACCCCCAATGAGTGGCACTTTCTTCATGTTACAGACCAGGAAACAGGGTCAGAGTGTTGAGGCCACTTGACCCCAAGGTTGTACTCTCTGAAATTGTCCAGTCAGTATCTGAAACCAGTCTATCTGACTCTCAAACCCTGTTGCTGCTCCCTTCTGATTATGCCGAGACAGAGGAGGGAGCCCCCTCCCTGTGGGCCTCACAGCCTCTTCCCACACTTTCCTGTGCTCCCAGCCCCCTTTTGCTGCCTAAATGAAACACGCTGTCCTCTGGGCCCTGACTCAGGAACCAGGTGACTCCATCGCCATCAGGCTCCAACCACAGGAAGCTACAGAGCAGACACAGCTCCACAAGGTTCCTCAGGGCCCAGAAGCAACCACCAGAGCTCTCCACCATGGAGCTTAGTGATCCTTCACATTTTCTCATCTTGAGAACAATCCATAGGGAGAGGTGGCATGGCCTGTTTCATAGATGAGCAAACAAGCTCAGAAAAGCTAAAGTGGCTTGCTTATCCATCCTGCCTCAGCTCTGGCATGGTCTCAGAACACAGGACTGCCACAAACTCCCTTCACTGTGGCCTCCTCCTTATGTGTCAAGAGCTAAAGTTTTCTAGAGGAAAACCAAAGCTTCATGACATTATTTTGAGTTTCGACTAAAGGAAATACCCGATGCAAGCTCTTGGCACAGGGCCTGACATGCACATCCTCAGGAAAGGGGAGCATTGCTTTATGCAAGAGTCTACTGTGGCCCTGGTGGCCCCTGAGGGTCAGGGAATGTACAATGAGACCCTCAGGAGACCCACCCATATACTTGGGGGCTGAGGAGACCTCTGACTTCCTATCCCCCAACTCCCAGCAGGTCTTACCTCCCCAAGCAATGGACAACTCGTTTTCCCCTATCCCAGAACCCTGAGGTAACAGCCCCTAGCCTAGGAGCAGCCCAGCGGTAAACCCCTGGTAGCTTGAGTCAAATTGCTGTCCTCAAAGCCTAGCCCAGCTATTTCAATAACTCAGCCTCAGGCCTTAGGAGCAGTGCGGCTGAAACAACACCCAGGAATATGCACCGAACACTGCCTGGCAGCACACAGGGCTGTCCCTGACCTATGGTTTCAGAGCAGACGGACAAAAGCAGAACCCCAGGCTTAGTCTGATGTCCTGCCAGGTGCCAGCTGGATCTCAGCACAAGTCGGTCAGCCAGAGAAGCAGCAAATGATGAGGTCCCAACTATTCTCTGTTTTGAATTTTCCTGTCTTTCCCAGGTCAGTGATTGTTGAGGGAGAACTGGCTATTTCCTGATCTCAGAAGTGCCTACAAGAGGACTGTAATGTGCCAGTGGGAGAAAGGAAGGAAGCACAAGGATCCCAGCAGGGAATGAAGAAGCGTTTCACTGAAGCAGCAGGCTGGGAGAGTAAACTGTTTTACCATGAAAAGGCTCTTTTGCATTTCTGAATTTTGAATTTTCTCTATATGGTTGAATACTTACTAAGGGCAGGTGTCGGGACAAGGTAAATCACTGAAGAGCCAAAGCAAAGCCAGGGTTGGGATTTCTCCTCACCACAGGGGTGAAACAGACTTAAAGTCACCATCCCCGTACTCTGGGGCACATCCAAAGGCCTAGATTGCACAGCTTGCAGGTCTGGACACAAACAAATAGCTCCTTCCTTGTGTTTCTATGTCTTAGAAATCCATGCCCTTTGGAGAAAGCCAAGTCTCTCTCTTAAGGACAAGTAGATTAGGGACAGCAGGTCCAATAGGCCTCACGGAAAGAAAAGCATTGTTGGCAGGAACTATGAGACCCTATCATAAGCAAGCATGCATACAAGCAAGCACACAAGCAAACTATTCTGTTTAGGAGCATTTGGTAAGCATAACAAAACTACCCAAGTCCAGCAAGATGCACCAGTGGGTAAAGGTCCCTGCTGCCAAGCCTGACGACCTGAGTTCAATTCTAGGGACCCACATGGTGGAAGGAGAGAACAGATTCCCACAAGGTGTCAAGTTGTCGTCTGATCCCCACATAAAAAAGGCAATTTTTAAAAAGTACCTATGATAAAATATTAAGTAAACAAAGCATGTACTAAATAAGGCAAGATGAGTCCAGATGCATAGGTACATAAATGCACAGAAAAGGCCATCTTCTGAAATACTCTTAAGAATTGTCATTGCCATTTTACAGCTGAAGAAATTGATGCTCAGAGGTTAAGAAATAGGAATAGCAGTTATCTTTAGGGATGACATCTAATTTTGATTTGTCTTTGGGCTTCTCTAATTTTTACATGTTAAACAATAACCACACAGCATCTTTATAATTGATAGAGACCCAGAAAACATGCCTTCTGTTCCCTGCAGCAAAAGTAGGACTAAGGGGTGTAGCCTGTTGGCTGGCACAGGAACTTACCGGGCGTTTGGTGAGGTCCCAGTTGTGGATAATCCTGGGTGGAATCACTGAAGTATTGTCTTGGTGGCAAAAGTCACAGTAATAGAGGCCAGAGAAGACACAGAGCTTGGGTAGTACAAAGGAGAAGCCAATCTGCTGGGAGCAGCCTGGAGAGATGGATGGTGGGTGAGTGGTGGGGGGGGTCAGAGTTGTTGGGGACCCCTGTTGTGTAAAGTAGCAGTCTCTTCATGTCCGGATAGCCCATGGGCTCGGCCTCATATGCAGAGATTCTTTTTTCAGCAGGGTTCACAGAAACATGGCCTCTGGCTCAGGAACTGCCAGCTTTTTCTTTGCAGTCTGGCAGCCTGGCAGGAGCCCACTTCCACATGTAAATAGGGGATCCCACAATGTACCTATCAGCTAAGGTTTTCACCACTACCCCCACAGTACAAAGTATCCTGGTTTTCCCTCAATAATCGGAGCTGGATCACCGAGACTTGGAGCCGAGCTAAGTCACTGAATAAAGGGGCTGTACCACTGACTGAGCTGAGTTCTGTGTCTTACTGCCTATCATCCAGCCTCCCTGGGGGGTGTTATCCTTCCGTCATCGACTTACGGAAATCCAGCTTCAGCCGTCCCGCACTTCTCCTCGTGACCTGGCAGCTGACGGGTCCTGAACTTAGAGAGAGAGTGCACGGGTGAAATTGGGATGGAACTTGACCGGGCCAGCCCTGGTAGCAGAGACCCACAGAGACCGGAGAAGCAGGGACCCACCAGCAACGCGGAGCAGACGAGCCACGGGACCTGCCGCTTCCCAGGTGCGCGCAGGAGACCGGCGCCACGCTAGCAGCTGGTGCCCCGAGATCCCTGCACCCCCATATCTGGCGCCCAACGTGAGAGCCTCTGAACCTCATGCCAGCCAGCAGCTAGTACCCTCGGAAACGCAGGATTCATGAGTACCTCTCCCACCAGGAGAGAAGCAAAAATCTCTTCTAATTTCCTCCTTTTGTTTCCAGTCTAAAAGTCTTCGCGTGGGACCACTAAGGACAGAGAGACAACTGAGGCTTCCTGGTCAGGGCTACTCCCTGATGTTAGCTGAAGGTCTCTTTGACCCCCTAACGGACCCCAACTGCCTGCAAAGGTGTAGACAAAAGACCTCTATCTATACATCTTTCTAATATAAAAATCTGGTGACGCAACGGCCACTTAAGAGTCATTAGGACGGCCGCCAGCCTCTTAAATTTGTGGGAAGGCCTGTGCTGGGAACCAAGCAAAATCCCCTGAAATCTTGATTTCAGGCACGTTTTCTTGGGAACCATCACTTCACCCCACTTTTTCTATCTTAAAACTGCTAGAAAAATCCCCAAAGTTCCAGGGATCT